AGTGGTCTTAATGAAATAATGTTAATTGTGAAAGACTTATGATGAATTTACTTGTTTCTATCCTGGTGTAGGAAGGATAGTTTTTCACTCAGAGGCTAAGGGCTGCTGGTATTAATTGTCTGAAACTTAGATTTCCTTTGTGTCCTGTTTTCCCAGAAAGAGCTGGGAACCTTTGCTCAAAGCTCCATCGCCCTTCATCATCAATTCAACCCCAAGTTTCAGACCTTGTTCCAACCCTGTAACCTGATGGGAGCTATGCAGCTCATTGAAGACTTCAACACACATGTCAGCGTTGACTGGAGTCCTCGTAAAACTGTCAAGAAGACCGGTAGGGACAGATGTGTCCACTTGAAGTTTTAACTTACAAGGAGAAGTGGGAGCCTTAGCTCGCAGATAGTTTCTTAGGAATAGTTTCGTGAGGTTGGAGGAGACAGGATATTTGTAATTTCTTCCTTCTGTCTTGTATCCTCCCTCTGTGCTCATTATCCAAGTTCTAGAATTAGATGATAATACTAGAGTACTTAATACTTAAGTAAGGGATGGAGGCAGTGGACAGGACACGGCTGTGGAGGGTAGAGAGGTGGCACTCAGTGCTAAGGTTTGGACTTTGAGGGTAAGCATTAGGCGTCAGGTCAAGACGGACTGATAAAGATGGAAGTCAGGTGGGAAAGTCAGGTTGTGTTCAGGCTTTTACGCTCTTCTTTATTAGGATCATTTATTTCCTGTAATGATTGTAGTGACATCTCCATTTTGAGTGACACGTTGATTTGGGAGATAGGAACAAATTAGAGATGATGTACATTTGCCTTATTCAGTATTTTAAAGAAATGTTAATGCAGCTTTGGTTTTTACCTTGCATTGGTTTAGTAGTTTTTGAGAAAATATTTGCTGTTTTTTTAAACCAGGCATTTGCTTCTGATTTGTTTCATGGTTCAGCAAATTAGTTGTGGTTTGCTCTGGATATGGGTTTGTCTTTGGACTTGATTTTAAATTCCTGACTCTTCTAGTTAAATTGAATATAGTTGGATTTTGGTGCGTTAAGTCATGGACACTGATCTCCAACTACTTTATTAGTTATATGTTGGTAATGAAAACTTAACACTGAACTTACAGTAATAACTTACACGTAGAGCGCCCTGTGTTTTTCTTCTGGGTATATAAAGATAACACTTATGGAAGGAGACATAATGGATATTATAGTGCTTAACTCTGGAAAAGCAGAAGTGCCTGGAATTGAGAGGCTTAGACAGCAAGACAGAAATGAATGAGACTGAATTGTCTCATTCTTTTTATGGCTTTTTGATCAGAACCTCAGGAGGAATGTAGGAGAACTTAATGAAAGTTAAGTAAGAGCCAAATCAAAGAAAATTTGGAGTACCAGGTTTGTGAGGTAGACTAAAGAAGTTGGACTCTTATCCTGGAAGAAAGAATCGTTGAAGGTCACTTAACTTTCAAGGATTTAAAGGGGGAAGGAGGTAAAAATTTGTTGAGCATACACTATGTGCCAGGTATTACAGGTGCTTTGTAAGTGTTTATATTACTTAGTGTGTTAAGTGTTCCACCTAGGAAAGAATAAGAGAATGAACTTTTAATAACAGTGAATGGGACTCCTTTCAGAAGGTGTATGTTAGACTGAGAAAGACTATGGAACCTTTGGGTGGGAGGGTGGATGGGTGGGAGGGCACCGAGTTAGGTAGGGGCAGCTCTATCTAAATACAAAAACGCATTCAGAAGCTTTTGTGAAGCCCTCTTTTGTTACAGAATGTCATTTATCACAGATTTTTTTCCTTACAGCCTATGAATTTCCCTGTTTGCCAAAGCAAGTAGCTTGGATCCTAGCCACGAGCAAGGTTTTCATGTATCCAGAGCTACTTCCAGTGTGTTCTCTGAAGGCAAAGAATCCCCAGGATAAAAGTTTCTTCACCAAGGCTGAGGACAAGTAAGGATTTATTGTAGGGGAACAAAAGCATGAAATATCCCAAGGAGAAGACTGAGTTCTTTTTTTTGAGGAGCTTAGGAGTGATAAGGCATGTATAATAAAGACTGGATGCACAGGACCAGAAGGAAAGCAGTGTATATGGGCACAGATCTCTCTCCGTGTGTGCCTGTTGCAACAGTGCCAAACCCTGCTCTTTGAGGGAGTGACATGCACATTTTTGAAACATTTTAAATGGTTTCTTTTATTTATTGTAAAAACTAATTTCATAATAGTGTTAGAGGAAATTTTTCACAAGAAAGCAATTTTTTTGATCCATTATCCTAAATCACCCCAAGATGAATGATTTTTCTTTTTTGTGTGTCTTATGTATTATGGGCAACTTAAGTGTACCTTGGATTGCTTTTTTTTAACCTAACGTCTTCTTGAAATTGTTTTCCTGTGTTCTGTGCTTTAATATTGTCCTTTTGTTTGTTTGTTTCCATATATTGTCTTTTAAAGCCCTATGATTAATATTTAAATACTAATGGCCCTGAGATATTCCTTTAGTTTGCCACTCCCCGACCCCCGGTTGTTTTAGCTGTAAGTGAGGCTTCCCCACGATCTTTGTGTGTAGAGCCTTTAAACATCTTTTGAGTTTATCCTTTTGGGTAAATTCTCAAGAGTGAGATTATTGGATAAAGGTCGTGACCACTTTTATAGCTCTTGATATGCACGGCCGCACCGCCATGAGCACACATACATGTGTAACGGTGATTGAATGTTTTGTTGGGAGGTAGTGTTGTTGCCGATTTAATGTGCCTGACATGGTGCCCATTATTCATGTTTTATTTGTTTATTAGAATTATTCTCCTTCCTTTCAAACTTCACTTATATTATGAGTATAAAGCGCATCATGATCTGATACTTGTGAGGGATTTATGCTTAGCGTTTCCTCTTCCCACCTGATTGTGCACTCCTGATGGAGTCTTACTCGTACAGTACTTAGTAGCGCTCAGTAAATACCTGAAATTTTCTGTTGAATTGCCATTAAGTTGTACAAGAATTAGATGCAGAAAAAGTGCATTATGGGATGTGGATGGAGTTCGTCTGGGAGGCTTCTCAGCAGGGTGGACTGTGGACTGTGCCTGAGTGTCATTGCTCCTCTCTCAGTTTGTTAGCTTTAGGGCTAAAGCACTTCGAAGGGACTGAGTTTCCTAAGCTTCTCATCAGCAAATACCTTCTCACTTGCAAGACGGCACACCAACTGACAATGAGAATCAAGAACCTCAATATGAAAAGAGCTCCTGACAACATCATTAAAGTAAGTGCTTCCTTTCACGCACTCCTGGGTACCTCGCCGAGGTGCAGCCATTAGGTTTTCTTCTTCTTGGTCACAATGAATAGGCTTTTAGCTGAAGCTAATTCCTCCCGCCCTCTTGCCTTTCAGGATCAGTGATCCATTCTTTTCCTATGGAGTGTCATCTTCTTCCTCAGTTATGGGTATTGCCCCTAAATATAAAATGGTTCATATTTTTTTAATATTTCTCAAACCTGTTTCCCTCTAGCCATTCATTCTTTCTTTTTTCACTCTAACCTTCTTCAAAGGACAGGCTTTATCCTTCTACTTAACTCTTTTTATTTAAATATTTATGTCAAAGTCATAAAAGTGTACACTTTAAAGAGGCAAATAGTTGAAACAGTTTAAAGAGTCAGATGG